TGAGAATTTAAACCAACTCCTTTAATCCTCACAATAACTTCATGAGGTAAGCATTATTATTATTCTCATTTTATGGATGAGAACAACAGTCAGAGCTGAGCTAGATATATTGCCCAAAGTCACGAAGCTAGTAAGGTACAGAATCTGGATACAAGCAAAGGCAGTCTGGCTCGAGTCCTGACTTTTAACCATGACACTATAACAAGTCTCAAAAATGAACATTAATTCCTTTTCAGTATCTTACCTCTTGTGGCTGTATCTCTGGCTGTGCAAGTTCCACAAGAGACTCTGGAAAAGATAAAAGGAATATTAAGTAAGTACTAGGGAAACTATAGGCTTTTACACTGGTTACAACTAATTCATTCCAGCAATATATTTCTGAAGACTCAAAAGGGTAATAGAAAAAGGAAAACACAATTAAGTATATGCATGGAAGGTGTAATTCTAACTACCGCTTGTTAGCTAAAAGCATGTGGTCTGCCCAGGAGAACTAGAGGGTGCCCGGCTACCACCAATGACTGTCCTGACAGGGAACACAACAGACAATCTCTGATGGAGCAGGAGAAAGGTGGGCTGTAGAACTCAAATTCTAGTAAAAAGACCAGACTTAGTGGTCTGACTTAGACTGGAGGAACCCCAGAAAGCATGGCCCCCAGATTCTCTATCAGCCCAGAACTAAAACAATTTCCGAGGCCAACTCTTCAGACAAAGATTGGACTGGACTGTGGGACATAAAATGATACTTGTGAAGAGTGTGCTTCTTAGCTCAAGTAGGTACATGAGACTAAACGGGCAGCTTCTGTCTGGAGGTGAGATGAGAAGGCAGAGAGGGTTAGGAGCTGGTTGAATGGACATGGGAAATCAGGGTTGGAAACGAGGAGTGTGCTGTCACAGTATAGGGAGAGCAATTAGGGTCACATAACAATGTATGTATAAATTTTTGTATAAAAGACTAACTTAAAATGTAAACTTTCACTTAAACTACAATAATAAACAAAAAAAAGCATGTAGTCTAAAACTAGTAGCTCTCTTAGAAGACACTTCGCTAAAGTCAAGTATCAGTTAAAATTTTATTTCTGATCTAAAATACGACTATTTCCTCGTACCCACAAACACAGCTTCGCACAAGTCAGAAGTACAGTTCACGTCCCACGAGGTAAAAATTAGTCATGTCAATTTGAAATAGATCCCTTAAAGGCCTCTTACAAGCTATTTTAAGGTTGAGAGGTGATGGGATAGTAGTACCGAAGCACTGGGCTTGGTACTAAGAGCAAAGACAACATGAACATGGGAAATCACTTGAATTCTCCTAGTGACTACCAGGACCTTGCCTGGACTCCCTCCTTAGAAGCCGTATTTATTAATACAACCTAAGAAACAAATGCAAAAGTATCATTTGCTCAAAATAGTTCTTCCCGAAGAAAATGGTAATTTTAGAAGTATATTTTCCCTTTACTGATTTTGGCAACTTTTTTTTCCTAAATCAATATTTTAACCTTAGGTTATTTACATTCGCGTTCTACTATAGTATTGAATTCTTTAACAAGAAAGGTTCATTCAAATTCCATAAACACCCCTTTCAACCAGTGTACTCTCTTGGAACAAAGTATAATCTACTGTTTCTATTAAGGCTCTTATCTGTAAATCACAGTAATAAAGCTGAGAGATGCTTTCTAAACCTAGTCTTGTCCAGCGGCAAGTAAAGATTTCCATTCATGCAGAACCTAACAAATTAAAAGAAAGAAATCATTTCACAATAATTTGACTCATTTTTGGTGTTAAAAATCCAACCACTCTAAAGAATTTCAGAGATCATAACAAACCTGACTCTTTGACAGATTCAGTTTTCAATAACTGTTTTTTCTTCTCTGATTTTATCAGCGTATCTTCCTCCACTGGTACTTCCTTTTCCTTAGCATTTTGGGGAACTGGGATACTCTCAAAATATCCTGAGTTCAGCAACTTAGACAGTAGATCTTTCATGTGTTTGTCTAAGAAAGAGCGATTAAGACTTAATTATCACATAACCTAATAGTTCGTTAAACATTATAAGGAATAGAAATCCTAATTTAATCCTAGTCATAGCAAGTCTTTACAATATTCTCCATTAGAGGGGATTCAGAGAACT